TATATTATATAGGTATATATATTATATATGTATATATGTATATATATAGTATATGTATATATATAGTATATATGTATATATGTATATATGTATATATTATGTATGTATATATGTATATATTATGTATGTATATATGTATATATCATATTTGTATATATGTATGTATATATTATATATGTATGTATATATGTATATATTATATTTGTATATATGTATGTATATATTATATATGTATATATTATATATGTATATATGTATATATTATATTTGTATATATGTATGTATATATTATATATATATATATGTATATATTATATATGTGTATATATATGTATATATTATATATATATATATATGTATATATTATATATGTGTATATGTATATGTAATATATGTGTATATGTATATATTATATATGTGTATATGTATATATTATATATGTGTATATGTATATGTATATATTATATATCTGCACATGTATATATGTATATAATATATATGTATATATATTATATATGTATATATGTATATATTATATATGTATATAATATATGTATATATTATATATGTATATAATATATGTATGTATATTATATATGTATATATTATATATGTATATATGTATATATATAAATTATATTATATATGTATATATGTATATATATATATATTATATATGTATATATATATTATATATGTATATATGTATATATATCATATATGTATATATATATATATTGTAATATATGTATATATATATGTATTATATATGTATATTTATGTATATATGTATATATATCATATATGTATATATATATTATAATATATGTATATTAAATATGTATATATACAAACTGGATTCCAAAAAAGTTGGGACTCTAAACAAATTGTGAATAAAAACTGAAAGCAGTGATGCGGAGGCGCCAACATCTAATATTTTATTCAGAATAGAACACAAATCACAGATCAAAAGTTTAAACTGCGACATATTTTGGCATCAACAATGCCAAAAAAGTTGGGACAAGTCCATTTTTACCACTGTGTAGCATCCCCCCTTCTTCTTACAACATTCAATTGACGTCTGGGGACAGAGGAGACCAGTTTCTCAAGTTTAGAAATAGGAATGCTCTCCCATTCATGTCTAATACAGGCCTCTAACTGTTCAATCGTCTTGGGCCTTCTTTGTCGCAGCTTCCTCTTTATGATGCACCAAATGTTCTCTATAGGTGGAAGATCTGGACTGCAGGCTGCAGACTGCAGATGACGTCTAGATGGGAGCATATGTTCTAGAACCTGAACATAGTTCTCTGCATTAATGTTGCCTTTCCAGACATGCAATCTGCCCATGCCACAAGCGCTCATGCAACCCCATACCATCAGTGATGCAGGCTTCTGAACGGAGCGTTGATAACAACTTGGGCTATCCTTGTCCTCTCTGGTCCGGATTACATGGCGTCCCAGTGTTCCATAAAGAACTTCAAATCGTGACTCATCTGACCACAGAACAGTCTTCCATTTTGCCACACTCCATTTTAAATGACCCCTGGCCCAGTGCAAACGTCTGAGCTTGTGGAGCTTGCTTAGAAATGGCTTCCTCTTTGCACTGTAGAGTTTCAGCTGGCAACGGCGGATGGCACGGTGGATTGTGTTCACTGACAATGCTTTCTGGAAGTATTCCTGAGCCCATTCTGTTATTTCCTTGACAGCGGCATTCCTGTTTGAGGTGCAGTGACGTTTAAGGGCCCGGAGATCACGAGCATCCAGTAGAGTTTTACGGCCTTGACCCTTACGCACAGCGATTGTTCCAGATTCTCTGAATCTTTTGATGATGTTATGCACGGTTGATGATGATAACTTAAAAGTCTTTGCTCTTTTATGCTGGGTAACACCATTCTGGTATTGCTACACTATCTTTCTGCGCAACAGTGGTGGAATTGGTGATCCTCTTACCATCTTGGCTTCTGAGAGACACTGATACTCTGAGAAGCTCTTTTTATACCCAATCATGTTGTCAATTGACCTAATTATTGTTAATTGGTCTTCCTGCTTTTCATTATATGCTCAATTTCCTTTTTCTAGCCACTTATTGCTACTTGTCCCAACTTTTTTGGGATTTGTTGACACTGAAATTTTGAATCAACATATTTTTCCTTTAAAATGTTACATTTACTCAGATTAAACTTTTGATCTGCCATCTATGTTATATTACGAATAAAATATTGACATTTGCCATCTCCACATCATTGCATTCAGTTTTTATTCACAATTTGTTTAGTGTCCCAACTTTTTTGGGATCCAGTTTGTATATATATATATATATATGTGTGTGTGTGTGTGTGTGTGTATATATGTATATGTGTGTGCGTATATATGTATGTATGTGTGCATATATATGCATGTGTGTGTGTGTATATATATAAATATATATATATGTATATATATGTATGTGTGCATATATTTGCGTGTGTGTTTGTGTATATATATATATATATATATATTTATATGTATTTATATATGTATTTATATTTTTGTACAGTGTATCTCAAAAGTGAATACACCCCTCACATTTCTTCACATATTTAAGGACATCTTTTCAACACTGATAAAATGACACTTTGACACAATGAAAAGTAGTCTGTGTGCAGCTTATATAACAGTGTAATTTTATTCTTCCCTCAAAATAACTCAATATACAGCCATTAATGTCTAAATCACCAGCAACAAAAGTGAGTACACCCCTTATTGAAAGTTCCTGAAGTGTTGATATTTTGTGTGGCCACTATTATTTACCAGGACTGCCTTAACTCTCCTGGGCATGGAGTTTACCAGAGCTTAACTGGTTGCCACTAGAATGCTTTTCCACTCCTCCATTACGACAACACGGAGCTGGCGGATATTCGAGACTTTGTGCTCCTCCACCTTCCGCTTGAGGATGCCCCAAAGATGTTCTATTGGGTTTAGTTCTGGAGACATGCTTGGCCAGTCCATCACCTTTACCCTCAGCCTTTTCAGTAAAGCAGTGGTCGTCTTAGAGGTGTGTTTGGGGTCATTATCATGCTGGAACACTGCCCTGTGACTGAGTTTCCAGAGGTAGGGGATTATGCTCTGCTTCAGTATTTCACAGTACATATTGGAGTTCATGTGTCCCTCAATGAAATATAACTCTCCAACACCTGCTGCACTCATGCAGCCCCAGACCATGGCATTCCCACCACCATGCTTGACTGTAGACGTCACACACTTATCATTGTACTCCTCACCTGATTGCCTGCCGCCACACATGCTTGAGACCATCTGAACCAAACAAATGAATCTTTGTCTCATCAGACCATAGGACATGGTTCCAGTAATCCATGTCCTTTGTTGAAATGTCTTCAGCAAACTGTTTGCGGGCTTTCTTGTGTACAGACTTCAGAAGAGGCTTCCTTCTGGGATGACGGCCATGCAGACCATTTTGATGTAGTGTGCAGTGTATGGTCTGAGCACTGACAGGCTGACCCCACCTCTTCAATCTCTGCAGCAATGCCAACAGCACTCCTGCACCTATCTTTCAAAGACAGCATTTGGATGTGACGCTGAGCTCGTGCACTCTGCTTCTTTGGATGACCAACGCGAGGTCTGTTCTGAGTGAACCCTGCTCTTTTAAAACGCTGGATGATCTTGGCCACTGTGCTGCAGCTCATTTTCACGGTGTTGGAAATCCTTTTGTAGCCTTGGCCATTTTCATGTAGCGCAACAATTCATCTTTTAAAATCCTCAGAGTTCTTTGCTATGAGGTGCCATGTTGGAACTTTCAGTGACCAGTATGAGAGTGTGAGAGAGCTGTACTACAAAAGTGAACACACCTGCTCCCTATGCACACCTGAGACCTAGTAACACTAACGAGTCACATGACATTTTGAAGGGAAAATGGCAAGCAGTGCTCAATTTGGACATTTAGGGGTGTAGTCTCTTTTGTTGCCGGTGGTTTAGACATTAATGGCTGTATATTGAGTTATTTTGAGGGGAAAATAAATTTACACTGTTATATAAACTGCAAACAGACTACTTGCCATTTTGTCAAAGTGTCATTTTGTTAGTTTTGTCCCATGAAAAGATAAACTTAAATATCTGCAGGAATGTGAGGGGTGTACTCACTTTTGTGATACACTGTATATATACATATATACATTTAAAAATATTTTTATTTTATTCATTTTATTTAATTTTTTATGTCTTTTTCAAGGTAATGTGAGTGGTGAGTGGTGGGGCAGCGCCCTCTATAGGCCAGCTGCCACTGGTTCTGACAGGGTTTTTATCTATTGGTTTCTGTTTCCGGAAACCATTTAGAATGTTCAGTGTGTTCTAACATTTGGTACGTTTCAAATCATTATGACCAAAACCTGACATTTAGCCTTGGTGGTTCTGGATCTGATCTCAAAATTTTCGGAGTAAGTTTACAGGTTTACAAAGGGTTACTGATTCTGACTATTTAAAAAAAGGAACTGTCAGATTTTTGCTGTCCTAAAAATCCAGTTTTCTGTCTGAAAATCATCCAGAGACTTTTCTGAATTGAAACTTTATTTTGTTTTGCATCAGACCCAGTATTGAACTACCTGATGAAGGGTCTCAGAGAGAAACCTCTGGCATCTGCGGCAGCAAAGGCCATCCACAACATCTGTTCAGTGTGCAGGGATCACATGGCTCAACACTTCCAGGGCCTACTAGACATCGCTCGCTCCCTTGACTCTTTTGCTCTGTCCACGGAAGCTGCTGTTGGACTGCTGAAAGGTACTTCTTGAACACTTGATGTTTATCTATCATACATGTCGGTTTTATCTGTACACAGACAGGAGGGTTGTCCTGGAAAAATAGCAGAAACATGATAATAGGTTGAAATAGTTTTCACAGGTCACCTGTTCCTTGGGTAACGGTGCTTTGATGTTACCTGTGCAGGTACGGCTCTGGTTTTGGCTCGTCTTCCTCTGGAGAAGATTGCAGAGTGTCTCAGCGATCTCTGTGCTGTTCAGGTGATAGCTCTAAGAAAGGTGAGTTTATTTTTGTTACAGTTTTAGAAAAACAGAGAAAATATACAGGTTGAACCTTGTTGTTTCAGCTTTTGTCAGAACAATCTTCAAATGGTAAATCAGCTGATCCAACCGTGTGGCTTGACAGACTGGCAGTTATATTCAGGTGAGAAAAACTTTATTCAAAGTAACCCTTACTAACCAACCCTACGTAACACACCATAACTAACCGATCCTAACATACCAAACCTACCTAACCAACCCTAACTAACTGAACCAGTAACTAACTTAACTGACCATAAGTAACTAATCCTAATACAAACCCCAAGTAATTGGACTAAAGTGTGTAAGTAAAGTTGCAGATGCGAAACACATTCATGTTCGTTGTTTTCAGACACACAAATCCCATGGTAGAAAACGGACAGACACATCCTTGTCAGAAAGTCATCCAGGAGGTAAATGGCCTGAATACACCCGAGCTTTCCTAGGAAAACCTATTTGAATATTAAATGATTAAAGATGAGCCGGCTTACCTGCAGATCTGGCCGGTGCTGTCAGAGACTCTAAACACTCACCAGGCTGATAACCGGATTGTGGAGCGGTGCTGTCGCTGTCTACGCTTTGCTGTGCGATGTGTTGGAAAAGGCTCCGCCTCTCTATTGCAACCTCTTGTCACTCAGGTGAGACGGATTGATTAAACCTGAATGATATCATGTAAATATACATTACCATGGAAACAATGGTTTGTTTATCTTCATCAGATGGTGAATGTGTACCAGGTATATCCACACTCCTGCTTCTTGTACCTGGGAAGCATCCTGGTAGATGAATATGGAATGGAGGAAGGCTGCAGGCAGGGACTGCTAGACATGCTGCAGGTAAACACTCACCTGTTCACACCTCAGGGATCAGATTAACTGATTGATTTCTTTTAAATATTTATAACACGCACACACCTACACCAACAGTCCACTCCTAGAGATTGACGAGGTAGAACATAGATGCAACGGCAAGAGGGAGACAGGATGACAGGTCTGGGATATACAGTAGATCCTCGTTTATCGTGGATGTTTGGGACCACGCCCACTCGCGATCAGTGTAAAACCACGAAGTTGGAATACAGTAGTTCACGTTCAGTTCAAGTTCAGTAAACTGTCATGACGTGCCAGGCTGCAATCACACTCACTCATCACCTGTTACTCCCAATCTCCCTCCTTAAATAAAGAATTTAAATTTAAATACTGTAACATTTTAAATAAACAATCCATGCAGCATGGATTGTTTATTTAAAATACCTTTATTTAAATTTAAATTGTAGAGAAGAGAAGTGCAGCAGGACATCAAAGGGATGTCACACAGCTTCAGCTCTGCAGCACGGAGCAGAAATGTACTTCTTGATCAATTACACTTCAACAACTGAACATAGACGTTCTAAAATAATTAAAAATAACTTTTAGCACTTTAATATTTTGTGATTATGACGATTTTATGATGTGACATACTTTGAATTTTAAGTTGGAAGACAAAAGTTGTTTTGTGAATCTGGACATCAAAGCCTTCACAAAGCTGCTGCAGCAGGAGAAATGTGTGTGCGTGGCAGAGAAGATCAGCAGCAGGAGGGAGCTTTCCCTTGCACTTGCAGACTGCACACATGGTGCAAAATCATTTAAAATAATTTATTTTAAATAAACAACCCATGGCTCATCCGTCAATCAGCCAATTGTCATGTCCATCTTATTTTGAAAAACTGCGATATGGCGAATCCGCTATAAATGAACCGTGAAGTAGCGAGGGACTACTGTACCATCATTCCAACATCAGAGTTGAGACATGAGAATGAAAATTGTGACCTCGCTAGACAACTCTTGCCAGTGCTTAATGACAAAGTACCCACTGAAAGTCTGCTAGATGATGTGAATGCATCACTGCTAAGTATCTCTACTGTTACCATTACACAGACAAATAAGCTGGTATACACCACAGGAATTGCAATTCTTGAAAAGTTTGTCTATAAGATCAAACCTACAACAAACAAAAAACATTGTCCTCCATGGAATACACCTGTCAAACCAACTTACATGTACAATGTAGGGGTGGGCGATATGGCACAAATATAACACAGCTGGGGGGGACAGCTGGAGGGACATACTGTATCTAAGCCGCACGTTGTTTCTTTTTAGCTTTTTAGCTAGCTAGTATTGTGCGCAGGTAATTAGCGTTACGCCAGTACCGACAGGGGAGTGGGGGTGTGCAGTTTGATTCGGTAGTTCAGCGCGCTCGGTTCTGTTATTGGGGCGTGGCACCCGGTTGTACAATGGTTAGAGCAGTCGTCCTCCAATGCAAGAGTTGGGGGTTCGATTCCACCAGCAGTCACATGCCGAAGTGTCCCTGGGCAAGACTCTGAACCCCTCATTGCCTCCGATGTGTGCAATAACTTCAAATGACCAGTACATTGTGTCTCTGTCAGTCTGTTCATTCTTGAACTAATGGCCACCTTGGGCTTGCATGTTTCTGACCAGGGTTTTCATGCCAGGTGTGGTGTTTGTCACAGCCAACCTTAAGTCTTGATGGACATCAAGTCTGTTGCAGGCTTTTGTTTTTATTGACACAAGAGCACTGAAGGCTGTCTCAGACGCTAAATGGAAGAATAACCCTCATCAGTGCGTGTTTGGCCAGTCTGGGTGCAAGGATTTGTCCTTTGGCAGTCCAAAACTTTTTGTATCAATTTTTTTGGAAATATTTTTTGGTTACAGAATCAGCTTGGAGGTCACAAAGCTCATCTTCACATCCTAGGACACACGCATGGCTGGTGATTAGCAAATAAATAATTCCATCCATCCTCACCCGCTTCTTCCTTTTCGGGTTGGGGGTCGCTGGTGCTCATGTCTCAGGAACTTGTCTTAAGCGCAGAGGTGACGGGGCCTTCTCTGTAGCAGGCCCAAGACTTTGGAATGAGTTGCCTCTGCTTGTCAGACAGGCCCCCTCCCTTTCGGTTTTCAAGTCCCGTTTAAAAACCCACTACTATTCAGTAGCTTTCAACACCAGATGATGTGTTTTGAATATGTACGCTCCACACTGGTTAGTCGTCATATTTATTATCTACATCGTTTTTATGTCTATATTCTGATTTACCTCATTTTGTATATTGCTTTGTGTGTTGCCTGTTTTTCTGTCTGTACAGCACTTTGGTTGCCCTTGTCGCTGTTTTAAGTGCTCTATAAATAAAATGGTATGGTATGTCCAGCCATCACTGTGCGAGAAGCAGGGGACACCCTGGACAGGTCACAAGTCCGTTTATAATTACTGGTTCAGTGAACGCACACAGCTGGTGACAGGTTGTCCATCTGAGCATAACGCAACTTTTTTTTAATAACTGGCCGGTCGGACCTGCCTCCTCCTCAAAAAGTAGATTAACACAATTTTATATTGTGCTTTTTTATTTAGTTTTCTTTGTGCTATGCTTCGTAAAACCACATCAAATTCTAGAATTGCGCCACTCAAAGTGGCTGCATGTTGTAGTAGCTCTATAACTTTCCTTCTGAGGTATTAATTTTGAAAACTTTAATTCCTCTTTTTTTCTGGATATAAATCGCTTTTTTTGGATTATTATTTCCTCTGGTGTCGGATGCTTTACAGCTGGAAGGATTTTTACAGAAATATTTATGCTTTTGGACATTTGTTATGATGCGTAACCATAACAACAAGGTTGTTTTTTACAACCGGGAGCAGCTGATTAACATCTCCAAAGCTGAAATATTACCTCAACTACAGCCCCAAATCCCAAATGAGTTGAAAAGGAGGTGTCATGGATGCAGAGCAGGCGCAAAGAAGAGGGAGAAAGAGAGAAGAATTAAGTTCAAATCATCTGTTCATCATGATGGTCATGATCATGATCATGATGGGCAATGAGAGATCGCTGGGAAACAAGTTGGATGAACTTCAAGCCCTAACAAGGACCCATCCAGGGTATCGGGAATGCAGTGTTATGTGTTTCACTGAGACATGACTGCAGGATCATATGCCCGACTCTAGCGTTTCTCTACCAGGCTTTCTGACCATACGAGCAGATAGAGATTTAAAGAAAAAAGGTGAGTTGGCAGTGCTTGTAAACAACAGATGGTTTAATCCTGGACATATTACTGTGAAGTGTAGTCTCTGCAGTCCAGATATTGAACTATTAGCGCTAAGTTGTCGTCCATATTACTTGCCAAGAGAGTTCACCAGTGTTATTTTGGCAACTGTTTACATCCATCCATCCATCCATCCATTATCTTTTACCCGCTTCTTCCATTTTGGGTCACGGGGGTCGCCAGTACCCATATCCAGCAATCACTGTGCGAGGGGCGGGGTATACCCTGGACGTGTTGCAAGTCCATCACAGGGCGCAACTGTTTACATTCCACCCAATGCTGTTGCAGAGACTGCGCGTGATGTCATCAGCTCTGAGTTTGCTAAGCTACAGACACAACACCCTAGTGCGTTTGTTGCAATATCTGGGGATTTGAATCATGTCTCACTCTATGCTACACTTCTGACATTCCAACTGTTTGTCAGCTGCTCTTCCAGAGAAAACAAAACGCTGGACTTGTTTTTAGGGATGGGGCCGATCTGGTATCGGTATCGGCCTCCGATACCAGCATAATTTACGTATCGGATTTTTCCAATCCAACCTGCAGAGATTTCCGATCCATGATACATGTTGGCTTCAAACTATGGAATGGATTTCCTGAACGGAGGCATGTCTCATGAACCCAGAATAATAAGACCCACCTCACATTTGGGAAATCTATTTCATAGTTTGCAGCTAGCTACAACGTGAAGACTGAGTTAGCAGCACTGTGGCTAACGCCTAACCAACTTTTCTTCAAAACATGTATGGAAGTATTTTACACTAGAAACTCCACAAAGCAAGACGGCAACGTGCAATGTCTGCAGAGCCATAGCACCACGTTAAACTGTGGTAAAGTTAGTTTTACATTGGATCATCCCAGTGCCGAAAACGCCTACCATCACCAGCCTGAATGATTACCGACCGGTGGCTCTCACCCCGGTAATCATGAAGTGCTTCGAGAGACTGGTTCTCCAGCACATCATGGACTATCTCCCTCCGAACTTTGACCCCTACCAGTTTGCATATCGCACCAACAGGTCCACAGAGGATGCTATTGCAGTAGCTCTCCACACCGCGCTGAGCCACCTGGAGCAACAGCACTGCTATGTTCGAATGCTCTTTGTGGATTACAGCTCGGCCTTTAACACAATCATTCCGGACATTCTTATAAATACATTGGACAATCTCGGCCTTCCCCCACTCACATGTGCCTGGATAAAAGACTTCCTAACCAATCGGCCCCAATCTGTAAGACTTGGTCCCCACCTCTCCTCCACTCGTACGCTGAGCACTGGCTCCCCACAGGGCTGTGTGCTGAGCCCCCTGCTGTACTGTCTCTACACCCGTGACTGCAGCCCGGCCCATAACAACAACCTCATTGTCAAGTTCGCTGATGACATCACAGTGGTCGGACAAATCTCTAAGGTAGATGAGACATTTTACAGACAGGAGGTCCTGGAGCTAGCAACCTGGTGCTCAGAAAAATCTGGCTCTGAATATCAAAAAAACCAAGGAGGTAATTATTGATTTCAGGAAGCACAGCACCAACCTAGCCCCCCTTTACATCAATGGCGAGTGCGTGGAGAGGGTTCACACTTTCAGATTTCTTGGTGTCCATATCTCTGCTGACCTTAACTGGAAAGAGAACACCACAGCGGTCATCAAGAAGGCTCAGCAGAGACTACACTTCTTAAGGGTCCTTAAGAAGCACAACCTGAACACAAAATTGCTGCTGACCTTCTACCGCTCGTCCATCGAGAGCCTGCT